CAAAACAAGCAATTTGATGATATTTTCTTTGGGATTCAGGAAGTTGCAATGCGCATTTTCACTATTTTCATACAGCTAATAATAATTATCTGCAGATTAATCGACAATAGAAAGAAAAAACTAACCAGTGGTGGAAGGTAACTAAGTACATCTACTTAAACACTATTTTTAGGTACTTGAATATTTAAATTGTCTACAAGTTTTGACATCTACTCCACTATAATTCAGAGAATAACACTACACTTTTCACTGCACTACAGTAATTAAATACCTTTAGTTACCTTACAGATTCAATTTAACAATACAAAATATAATGGACAAATAAATTATGCTGTTTTATTATCAATTAAAATAAGGCTTTATTGACCCTGGGGATTTTTTTTCATGCTGCTCAGCAATATATAAAGTAATTCATATTAGCTCCACCTTTAAAAGCTGCAGCATTAAGGAGATGTACACATTAATGCATCAATAATCATAATATATTAATATAATGCGATTCTGAAATGGACCACTGTGCATAATAAATACTTTGTCGTTTGGTACATTAAGTATAATTAGATTTCAGGTAAGTTTTGAATCACAAGACCGGTATTTCTACCCTGTTAAAGTTCTTCTTCCACCACTGAAACTCAAATAAATGAAGCATTTTAATATAGCTGTAACGTAGCTTCACATCACACAGGTGTTTCTATATTTTATTCCCTGGACAGTCCGGTGTGCACATGCAGTGATGTCCACAGATGTTCCTATTAACCCCCCCACTCTAATAACTGACACCTGATGAAGCCAATCAGCGCTCTTGCTGGTCACGTGTTGCAGTTGCCAGCCGCAGCAGCCAATCAGCAGCCGGGAACACTTTCTTCGCACTGCGTGTGACGATGGAGCAAAACAACAACAGCGTTTTTCACCAAACGTTGTCGAGCTGTATTAATCAGTGTCAGCGCCTTCCTGACACCCAGCTCCGTCAACATTAGTGTGAAACAACACGGCGTTAAAAAGCATTTACTACACACACGGGGGGAGAGGCGGATAAATAGTGAACACGGTGTGTTTTGTGTGAATTTATCCCCAGCTTTTGTTCCCAACAACGCAGTCTGTGGTCCTCCTCTCTCTCTCTCTCTCTCTCTCTCTCTCTCTGCAGTGCGATTAACCTCAATCTTTTTCAGCAGCGACTAGCTCAACCGGTTTGTGAGAAAGAGGTTGACATATTAAATAAGATAATAAATAAATAAATATAACGGCTGCGGAGAAAAACAAAACGCAAACAAAGAAATAAATATATATATATTATTTTTTTTTCTGGGACTCTTCCGCCCGGTGAAGTTAAAACTCAAACATCGCACTAAAATGTGTGAATGTCGCTAAAATGTTAGCGACGCTGACAACAAAACAAAAAAACCCACGTTGTTTTAAATGTTTTATAATAATATAATAAGTGCATTAGTGTCCGGACATCGCCATCTGAGTTTTATAACCAGCGGACCGACAGCTAGCGTTAGCCGTAGTGTGGGCCCGAGTGCGCCATCGACAAAACACCGAGACAAAAGCAGGGTTTGGTGGAGGTAAAGCTCGCCTCTTTCTCCTACTGTTTACTCTAGCTAGCACACAACAACAACAACAACAACAACAACAGCAGCTAGCTAGCTTAGCGTGTCACGGTTAATAAAGCTAACTTAACGCCGCGCGGATAACGGATGCAGAACAAACAGCTGCTAGCTTAAAAACAACAACGGCTGTAAAAACAAAACAATAAATAATACTCACAATGCCGTGTCGCATTAACTGGACGTGCAATGCGACGGTCAGTGATAGTGGCTTTTCAGACGTTAACAGCCTCCCCCCCACTCTTCTTCTTCTTCTTTTTCTTTTGTTTGTTTGTTGTTGTTGTTGTTGTTGTTGTTGGAGAGGCTAAAGTGCTGCTAGTTAACGGAGCTCACCTAACAAGCTAGCTGGCTAGTTGGGTGAACAGGTAAAGAAGTGACGGAGAGCCGTGGAGTCGAAGTGGGAGAAGAAAGAAACAGCTGAGAAGAGGATGTAAACACAGGTCACGTGGTTTTGAAAAATGTTGTCGATAGAGGGAAGCACTGTTGCTCACTGTCTGTCTGCCTGTCTGTTTTCTATCTTTCTATCCGTCTATCTATCTGTCTTTCTATCTATCTATCTTTCTATCTGTCTATCTGTCTTTCTATCTATCTGTCTGTCTATCTGTCTGTCTGTCTTTCTATCTTTCTATCTGTCTTTCTATCTATCTATCTTTCTATCTGTCTGTCTGTCTTTCTATCTATCTGTCTGTCTGTCTGTCTATCTTTCTATCTATCTATCTATCTATCTGTCTGTCTGTCTATCTATCTATCTATCTATCTATCTATCTATCTATCTATCTGTCTGTCTGTCTGTCTGTCTGTCTGTCTGTCTATCTGTCTTTCTATCTATCTATCTGTCTATCTTTCTTTCTATCTATCTTTCTATCTGTCTGTCTTTCTATCTGTCTTTCTGTCTGTCTGTCTATCTATCTGTCCGTTTTTAGAGTTGGACTGTCTATGCTTTAGAGTTACAGTAATATATTACCTATATTTCTACAGTATCAAAGGCACTTATTTACCTGTGTATTGTACTATTTAATATATGTTTCAGGAGTCAGGTGCCGTACTGCGCTACTGAGAACATCAATATATCCATGAAAGCATGTATAACTTTACAGTAATAATACCTATATTTTTACAGTATCAAAGTATCTTCTACTTGTGTACTTTATGTTTTTAGAGTGCCATTTATTGTGTAATTTTCCACTTTTCCAATCTAGTTTTACATCTCTCCTTTCAGGCATTTTAAGTTTATCTAGCTACCTATCTGTAATGTTATATATAATAAATATATAATGCAATAAAATCTAATTTTCAAAAAATAGTAAATATTTAGAGATAGTGACTCTAAAACATCACAGTCAGCTTTGAAAACATATCATGTGTACAGTAACTTGTCTAAACTCCTCCTGAGGTCATTATAGTACTGAATGAGGACATGACCCTCAACAGTAGCTGAGGCCTAAATAGATCTATCTATCTATCTATCTATCTATCTGTCTATCTGTCTGTCTATCTGCAGATAAAGGTTGACTAAAAACATCCAGACAAAGAAATAGTTCAGGAATAAAATGGCTGGTCTGCTGTGACAAGCCTGCTCATTATAATTTCCTTTAACAAGAGAGTACAAAATTGGAAAGATCGTGGAAAGCTTCACCCACCTTGTAACCTCACACAGTTCCCTAAAGTAAAAGCCTAATTTTAGCCCGCAGCTGGTTTCTGGCCTGTTCTGGATGTGTGGGAATGGATGATCACCAGGTTTAATAAGGAAGCAGTAATGGTCAGCAGACGTACGCAGGTCTGGGCTGAGGTTTCAGGGACCTCGCTTCACCTCATCTTTTGATTATACTACCTGTTACTTATTAGTTTTATTCAAACCAAAGCAGCATTTCTCTCCTGTTTTCGGTGTGTTTGCTGTGCAGGTGTTTTAGAGACGCAGTTAAAAGCTGAAAGTCTACCTCTAATTTTCAACAATCAAAGCGAGGATAGTTGATACAGAAGATTATGAATCAATTCTCAGTCGTTCTGGAGGGATCATCATGTTTTGATCTCACTTTATTTGACCGTAAATGTTTTTTGTAGTGAAATACGTGACCTCTTTTTGCTGTGTGAGCTGTTGTTGTTCTTGCAGATCGTCCTCTGAAGTGAGGTATCTGTTGACTTCCTCCGTCGGTGGGTTTATTGCTTAACAGCGAGGTATTGAGCCCTAAATACACGAGGTTGCAGACTGTTTTAACGTGGGTTCATTCAAGTTACTCATAATTCAATACTCCCACCGTCCCATCCTTCTCATCCGAGGGTCATTAGCCGTGTCACGCAAGGCCATAACAGGCCTGACTGACGAATCAAACAGCACCTCAGCGTCTCCACTCCAAGTATGGTCTGTTTTTAGCGTCATAATTAGTATATGATACATGAAACCAGGGCTGTAGCCAGGGGTTTTAGAAACAGTGAGGTCAGGAGTCTCACCCAAATATCAAAGTTTTCACTAACCATCAGCAGAGGACCCTAAAATGTTTGATTTTGACTTATTTTTCATATTTTATTCATGCACCTTATCCACACTGCCAGAAATATGAATCAAAACATATCATGTGTACAGTAACTCCTCCTGAGGTCATTATAGTGCTGAATGAGGACACGACCCCCCGGTGTCTTCAACAGCAGCTGAGGCCTAAAATATTTATTACCTTAAAAAACTAAAACAACACACAAAAGCAGGATTCTGGATTTGGCCTCAAACACACATTGTTTACTACTGCAGGGTTAGCTGAGGTCTCAGCCCAGGAGTCTGTATGTGGCTGTCACGGTACTTTATATATCTGCACCCCGCCACCGGCACTCTCACAGTCTGCACACACAGCATATACATTACATTACAGGAAGTCAGCCGTCTTGTGTGAGGCGACGGAAATGTTTGTGGTAGTGTTGTGAATGTTTGCTTCCTTTCTTTGTCTCATATGATAGTAAACTATATCTCTTGATTAAGTGAATATTCTGACATTTTGTAAACCAAATAATGAATCATATAATCCAGAAAATAATTAGCAGATTAAGTCCTAAATTGAATATATAAAGGAAGGTTGTATTATGCACTATGTTGTGATTTATTTCAAGTTCTTTTTGAGAGAGAGCTGCAACAAGGGTCGCTGGCAGGACTTGAACCCAACACATTGCAATTACACAGGCTGCTGCCCTTAAACCTTTAAGCCACCAATACACCCATTTGTTTTGATTTCTAACCCCAGCTCTTAGCATCTTGACTACTGTTGACCACTCCCTGTTACTCTACATGTAATACCTTGAGTTTACCACAAGGTGATGCTAATGCCTAAGGGAACTTGATACCTTACTTGATATTTGTGGGGTAACTGGGTTTACGGTTGACCGAGTGAAGCTCTGAGAAACCACACAACCATTTGAAAAGTTTATTTCTACCATACACAAACTGTACAACACAGCGCATATCTGTTTATTATGAAATAGTAAAAGTAATAGGAAGTTTCAATTTACAAACTACTTCAACTGAAAAAAGCATTACATTTTAATGTAAAAGAAAAGAAAATACAATACAATTTCATATCATACTAATATCGTTCCACAAAAAAGCATTTCACAATACAAAACATCAAATACTAACAGGGAAAAAATAAATATTATTCACAAAACTTCCTGAGCAAACAATGTGTGGTATAGGAATTAAATATAATAAATTATAAATAAAGGATTGTTAGGTTTAAAGAATGTGATTCAAATTTTTTAAAAGATTAAGAAGTATTTGGATTAAATAGGGTCTCATTTTTCTGTAATTTGGCTCTTTTGCTGTTAAATTTTTTGTTTCTTCGAAAGGTCCTAGGCTACATGTCTTTGACTTTTCTTTGCAGAAATTAAAAATGTATTGCTCAAATGAATTACTGTGTCATTTTGCTCTTGGGATTAACTTAAAATTGAGACGTGTGTAGTACGTTGATACGACTACAGTGTCCCATTTCCCCCTTTTTTTGAAGTCAAGGGCAGTGTGGTGAACTAAAAATACAAAATAATTCAAAATACAAAAGTGCAATTGATGCAAACAAACAACTGATTAGCCAACAACTATCATTTGTCTATGTTTTCATTTTGTTGTTTTTTTCCTTTTTTTTTTGCATTTAATGATTGAAACTGAAATATGAGTTGTAGTGGTAGTCAGCTCGGTTTTGAAATAGCTACTATTCAAATCTGCCCCAAGCGTTACAAGAATATTCAAACTGTAAGACTAGTTGAAATGTTAAGGCTTGTAAGCAGTTTAAGATAAAACAGGAGGAGATGTTTGCTTTTTTTTTAATTCACTCCTTCCTTTTTTCCCCTTCTCCATGCTAGCAAAAGTTAAAATAAACACCAGACTTCAATCTCAGTCGTGATATTTCAAAACCTGACTCTGAGATTACAGCTACTGAGACAACGGTATTTAAACAGTCATCAGGAACGTTTCCTCCTATGAAAATAATTGTACTGTATAATAAATTAGACACCATCCACATAATACTGTCCTACCACAAAACATAGTACTCGTATATTTTTATGGATTCATATACATTTAGGCACATACTATATGCACACTCCAAAGTGTGTGCACAGAAGGCAGTTTAATATCTATATTTAAAAAAAAGACATCTTGACAAAGTGGATTTTTGATTTTTGTTGCACTCTTCTTGTGGCACGCTATGCAAAGCAGAATCTGACATTCAGTTCACTGAATGATGTTGCATTTTTGCTCAGTGTCACTTCCTGGTTGCATTCAGCTGTTATTGGTTAAGAAGAAAAAGGTACAGTACAGTTGCATTGCATTTTTTTGATCTCTGTGTTCACTTTGTCTTACCATACATTCAGTTTCCAATAAACAAAGCAAAAGCAATGCTTAAAAATATCGATGCTTAGTCGTTTTGGTAGGTTTTTACTTTGAAGGGAGATCCAACTTATGGTCTAATAATAATATACGTTTTTCAACACTAGATGGCGAAAGTATGCCATGAAATTGGAATGTGCTTCTATGTAATTTACAATGTGCAGAAAGTCAAACAGATTTCTCAAATATTAAGCATTTACAATTATAGAAATAAATAAAAATCAAGGAAATAAATACACTGATGAACAAATATAATAATAAATAGCGATAATATAAGAATGACATGAACACATACAGATTGAAATCAAGCAAACCATACAAAATAATTAAGTGCAAGAGGGGTAAAAATCTCACCAGGATAAACATATCAAGTGAATGCAGAAACAATAAAAGCATTACAAATCTGGCTGGTAATTTTCTCAGTGCAGTGTATTTACCGGGAAATGTCAAACACATTTCCAAAAGCCTTGTCTTATACATGCAGCCAAGCCAGCACTCTTCAGTAAAATAGAGCTATCTAGTGCCATTATCCCAAGTCAAAGAAACCTCTTGGTAGCTCTACAGCTTAAACATGGATGCCCTTAATAGCCTGTTTGATATTATCCAAGAGGGCCTTGCACTCTGGAGAGTATTCATGCTCCGAGTTGTTGTACATATCAGTTAATGTGTTCACATAGGCTTCAAAATTATGCTCACTGATGGGTCCCTGCAACAAAAACATGTTTGACTATTAGTGAAAACAGCACAGCAGAAATGACAATTTATAGAAAATTAGATTTCTTCCAGGACAGGTTAGATATAATGAGTTGTAGTGGAGTCTGGTCAAGGCTTACTGTACCATTTGAGGCAGCTGAATGTCAGTTAGACTGTTAATGAGAGCTTGGCTAAGGCGGGCGAGCTCCTTCAGAAGGCTGTCGTTGTGCTGTTCAATCATCTTGTTCTCCTCTTCAATTGTCTTCAGGTTACATTCCATAGACGATATCTGCTTTCGAGTACAAAAAACAAAAAAAAAGAAACTCGTCAAATTAAGCGAGCAAAGGCCTCAAACCTTAAAATGCTTCAAGTGCGTAAAATAAACTTGTCAGAGTGGATATTTACCTGGGTTTGAAGTTGCATCATATCTGCTTCTATTTTCATGTTGGATTCATTCAGTTCCTTAATTTCATGATCCAGATGTTGAATGTCTTCTTTGTTTTCAACACCTGAGTTGAAGCATATCATCTAATTTATCCCATCCCAACTGTAGATATTGATGCCAATATACATGTAACTGAAAAATACTTAAGTATTTCCATATCACACAGCATGTCAGAGTAGCTTACCACTGCTGGTTTTCAGTTTGATAGTCATCATCTCTTCTTCTGAGGGCTTTTTCTTGATACTCTGTGCGTTCAGTGGGCAACCCGACAAGCTAGTTCAGCAGGTCATAAATATTTAGGTGGGAGAATATCACAAAACAGACAAACTTTAGCATCAATAGAGATTGTGAATGAGAGTAAGGTGCTATTGGAAGAATGCAACAGGTCAACCAGCAGTATTGTTTAGAGATAAAATGGAGAACAGGCGACCTCACCTTCTGTGAGTGGCAAACACATTATTGGCATGTCCAAGGCCATTGCAGCCAGGCAAGGGACAATGGGGCAGTTCCTGTTTATTGGCCTTCCAGGCAAAGGGCAGCCCATTGATGGACGACTCCTTCTGTCTTTTGGCAGCAAGTGGACAACTGCCTGCACTGCGATGGGATGTGTATTTTCCCGATATATGGCCCTGTCCGTCACATCCAATTACTGGACACCTACCAGAGAAACAAAAAACAAAAAAACAAAAAAAGAGTTGTGCATGTTGTAAACCTGCAAACGCTGCTGATTCACACAGGGAGAATGTAACTAACTTGCATTTAATGACATATTCCAATGCTACAGGCAAAAGAAAGACATTTAACTGCTCAAAAAATAACAACCACATCATTAAAAAAACCCATCTCTTTCAATAACTAGACCGGAAGATTTGTTAACCATTAAGTTGATTAATCCAGCCAAATGCTGATTAAAAATAAAGTCGCCAAAACTAGAAATAATCGCATTAACTATAAGTTACTAATCCACTAAAACTTGAGGTAGAACGGACGCTCTGTTCAGTGCATACGTTGGGAGGTTGCTGATATTTGTGGTTGAAAACATAAGCACAACTCGCGCTGAATATCATTAAGAGTTTGTCAGTTGGAATTGAGGCCTGTTTTCTGCAGGTCAGTAATGGAGTGACATGAATTACAGATAATTGTCATGTATCCCCTCATGCGAAAGAATGTAATTTGGAGGTGGCTAACCCTTTCCCTTATTGATAAAGGTGAAAGGTCACCTGAGATGATACAAATGGCACACATGCTGTAGAGTGCTGCTGCAAAAAGCCTGTTTCAGCATTTTGTTACTCGACAGCACAGCAGCACTTAGAGGACAAAACAACACCAGTCCCATTACTTACAACTACCACAGGTAGGTGGCTTGATGCAAGGCACCCGGACAATGGAGGCATGCCATATGGCCCACTATTTACAATAATCTAGGGACATTTGCTACCCTCCCCCTTTCTCTCCCTTTCTCTCTTAATGTGTATGAGATCTATTCCAGTCTAATTCCTAAGCTCATGCCCTTGCATTAGTAATTAAAAAGAAAAAATCTGTGTCCAGATGTATAAGTAAACAAAGGCTCATATATCTGACTTTGGATTTAAACTGCAAATCAATTACATTATTTTTTTTCCCAATAACACTTTCACAGACAATGATTAAGCTGCAAATGAGTGCACTGCCATCAGAGCGGGCAATTCAACATTTTCTTAATATACTATAATTATAAAGAAAGCACTCAGTGAAGAGTAACAAGCCAGATATTCCATTCAGAAAATAGGAAAAACACAAAACCCTGAAAAAATCCCACAAAAACACGTTGCTAATCCTTAGAAAATAATTCACTAATGTTACGACAAGAGAAGTATTATTTTCTTTGTTTAACTTAATGGCCTCCAGGTATAATGCCCCAGGCACAAAAGCATGACACATTTTCACAATGTTTTCTTGATTTATTTTTGAAACAAAAAACATGACAGCATTGGATGAGAAATAAAAAAGAAAAATCTCTTACTTAAGCTCTTGCTCATCTTTGTCATCCTTGTTTGGTGTGAGCTTCAAACCTCCCTTTCTGGCACGTGGACATCCTGACAAGCTACAAATGATTGGAGACAATATGGGTTAACATGAAGGAAATCTATTGAAGAGTAAAAAATAAAAGTTAAATTGTTACAGGCATCTATGAGATTTATAGTGGTTAAACCAATTGCACACGTTTAAGCAAATCTAAATCTAAATAGATACATGTTTAATCCTTGAAGAAGTTGTACTCTGCATTAGCGCATACCATGGATTTTAAAATGATAAATAAATGCATAGATAAATGACAAGGCAGCCAAAAAAAAAAAAAAAAATCAATAAACACAAGAATTCAAAAAGTGCAGCATGTTTGCAGCATAAAGTGAGACTTTCACCATCTGTTTGAATGTCATGCATCTGACAAATGTATTTCATGCTCAGTTGCGATGATTTTTCTCTGCTACCTTCTGTGCGAAGCATAGTTCCCAGTCACGTGTCCAGATCCATCACAACCAGGTGTTGGGCACCTGCAGGTTGAGAGACACAGAGACCAGGTGCTTTTTACAGCAAAAGACTGCAAGCAGAGCGGTGGATTCATGCTAATATGCCAGGAAGTAGTACAAATACCACACAACTCATGTGGACATGAAAATCATAGAAATCATGCATAATGTGCCGTAGAAAGGAAAGTAAATGAAAAAAAAGGAAAGTAAAGGAAAAGAAAGCAAAGGAAAAAAGAAGCTTTGACCCAAGCTGAGGCAAAAACAAGCTGCCTAGTTCAATGTGAAAAATCCTTTAGCAGCAATAACAGTTTTCAAAACACATACTTTAGTTCCTGAGAGTTGGCTGCCATCAGTGATTTGAGTGTTTTGTCAGCCAGGGGACATCCAGACACACTAGAGAGGATAAAGAGCTAACAGTCATTTTAATGCACTCTTTGATCACAGCTGAATTGAATAATCTTAATACAATGTCTCAATGCATATTTATACGGAAATTATTTGAAAACACAATTCCACTTCCTTTACACAAGAAAAGCTTTCTCTTGTCACCGTGTTTAAAAAAAAAAAAGACATATGACATAAAATCTAACTCTACAAGCTATCTGTGACAAGTTTTTCAACTGTAATAATCATAACATAATTACATAATAACAACCAGCACTGTTTCCCTTGCCTATATATCTGCTAGTTGGCGCTAATGAGAGTATAATTAATTACAATACCTCCGATGTGATGCATAATTCCCCGTCACATGGCCACTGCCGTCACAGCCCGGGGTCGGACAGCTGCAGGAGAGCACAAAGCATTTAATGCACAGATTACTCTACTTCCCACAGACTTTACCAAGCTTGAACTGAATCTTTCTTTTACACTGACAACCTTTTAATGGGCATTAAAGAGAAAAAAAAAGAGTTAGTACAGCGGGAAGTTTAGTAGAGAAATTATTATTATATTGTTCAACATTCAGTTTAATAATGCCTCTGAATGTCACTTAGGGGGGTGCTGTGCTGTGGAAACTAAAGGGTCCTACTTTTCTCGTGGTGTGATTTTTAAGAGGAGACCCAGCAGAGCATGCACTCTAACTACAAGAGTCAAGAGTTGTAAGCTTGTACAGGACATACAGGGAGAAAACTCACTTTCAAATAGATACATTTCTGCTCCACATGAACCTGCAGACATACCGGTTACAGTGATAGGTAACACAGTGAGTTTCAGTGTGGTTTGACTCACTTAAATCAAACTGTCCTATTTAAACAAAGGTATGTTTTGGCGTTACACTTTTTATTGTTAATGCTGATCATCTTGCCAACTAAAAGGGAAGCTCACATTACAGCTGGCTGAATAAAGATGCCTTGAGATATTATTTCACATAACATACCTCAAGAGCTCTTTCTTTGAATCTCGTAATAGCAGCTTTGCTTTGGGACTCAACATGCTGCCATCTCCTTGATAGTGTTGGTCCTCCAAGGAGACATGATCATAATCCTCCTGTGGACAGAGAAAAAGTAAAAACACTGCCCTAACCGTCCAAAGTATCAAACCTGACCACAATTTGCAATGACCTAAAAGTGAATAATTAATGAAAAAGCCCTGTATAATACTCTTAAAACACAAGCCTTGGGGGTAAAAGTGCAAGGCAAAGAGATTATGCTTAAGGATACTTATACTGTAGTAAACCATACATCCATTTAAAGTCACACTTAATCCACATAGTATTTATGATGTATAGCCATGACGTACAAGTATGGATTTCCTTTTTTTTTTTTTCACAGACAAGATTGTGCAGCCACCAGATGTTTGTATGATTTAAAAGCAGGCCAAACTCTTAATATCAACTACAAATGAATACCACCTGTGAAATAAAGAAAACCTTTAAAGCCCACATTAAGATTGATTCAGGCAAGAATGGTATGTGGAGACCAGATTAGCACCACTCCTGTAAAAATATTGAATGTATTTTATAGATTTAAAGATCTGACTGGAGAAGCTGGCGGAATATGTAGCTTACATGGAGGAAGTCTGTGTGTTATTGTGGAAATCTGGGGATTTTAACAATCAGCTGGGGGGATTTTAAATAAAACAGGCTGTATTGTATTTTTAGACAACATATGACTATTTTTAGACTGAATTTTACTACTTTAGGCAATTGTTGAGAAAAACTAGTACTTCAGCTTATTTTAAACTCCATTTAACTACTTCAAGTATTATTAGTATTAGTATTATTTTTAGACTGAATTTGAAGAATTTGACTACATATTTTTACACTACATTTGACTCTTATTTTTAGACTAAACATGACAAACTTTAGGCCAAGAAATAAATAAATACATATATAAAACTTTTTTGTTCAATTCCTGTCAGTGACAAGAGGGCCTTGAAACAGCACGTATTCATGTTGGGGCATTAAAAAGTGAAAATGTTGGGAATTGAACACTTTCTTTCAGGTCAGTAAATTCCTAAAAAAAATCAATAGTAAGTTTCCTTGAATGAAATCGTTGACCTGGTAGCAATTCTAGATATAATAGAAGTAATAGAGCTCTATAATTTGTTCTGTTGTGTTTATTTCAGAAGAAATTTGTAGAAAATGTATCTGCACGGCTAAACTGGATAAATAGAATATGAAAAATCTAAATGATTGAAACATTTTAGAAAAATGTAAAGGGGAGTTTTGGGAGACTGACTCCAGCCCCATCATCTCCATCTTGTCTCTTAGTATTTTACTTTTAGTCTATTACAATGATACAATTTCGATGTTTTATTTGCAATTTGTAGAATTGAAACGTCTTTGTTTGGCGACATGATAACACACCAGAGACTGCACACCATTTGACCTTCATCCTCATCCTACATTTTTGAGATTATATCCAAAGTGATGGCTGACTGTTTTTTTTCTTTACCTCTGTGTCCTGTAAAACATGTGCTTTGCTGAAGTTGACAGGGACAGGGCTCTCCCAGCTGTCTCTCTCACACAGCGGCTGGTAGAAGGCGGGGCTGATGAGCACACTCCCGCCTTTGGCCATAGTGGACTCGGAAGGGGACACCGGGTCGTCCAAAGGTGTTTTTGTCTGGGCTTTTACATTTTCCTTACACTTCTTCATACTCAAGTCCAGGGTGCCATTTTCATCCACCTCTATGAGCATGTCCTAAAGGAAAAAGAGGTTTAATTAATTTAATCAATTTAATACATGTTACAACATGTTGTAGAAAGGCACAATAAATAAAGTGAGCCTTACATATCATCGTAGTGCGTGCTAACATATGAAAACAAATGAATCAGGGGATAAAAATAGAAACCTATTTTCTAATTACAGTAAAAGGAATGTAAATAAAACAGTACGATGTCTCATTAATATGACAACAGCGATATGGTAAACTGGAACCCAACAACATTTCTCTGTAAACATGAAATACGACTTGAAATGCGGAGCAAACAAACAATGTATTTAAATAATACATACAGTGGTTATCTCACACCAGACAAAGTACCAAACTAAGCCAGCGTTAATTCTGCTGAACACAAAAAAATAATCACTGGTGTGTAGTTTTTCAGTGACAGCTGTGTCATCTGTTTTCTAGGACACACAACCAAGATGGCAGCTGGGGGGGTTGCTGGTTTTAGGTCATCATTATTATAGCAAAAATTAAAAAGCTTAATGTGGCATAAGTTTCCCCGCTGACAGATGTGTTTGTCGTTTCTGTGCTGAAACGCAATAGCATGATGACTTATGGCTGTTTTATGGTATTAAAAGTTTTACCTCATTAAATGCTGAAATCCTTTTCCATAAATGAAACCAATTATTCAACGCATATGTTTCATTAAACCCTATACATCATTATTTTTTGTAACAAAGGGGAGCTTTTCAAATTAATTAAAGGGGATAATTTACATGAGCACTGGATGTGGCTGTCCACTTTAATTATCCAGCCATTTGATGATGTGTGTACCTAATAAAAAAAATAACACCAGTGTAAAGACTTTTTGTTACTTATTTGGATTTTAATGTTGTTTTTGGCCGCAACTTAAAAACCAAAATTCAGAATTTAGGTTATTTTCTTTTTGCTATTATTGATTAATTAATAATGTTATTTAAGTGTCTCACGATGTTAAATGACTAAAACAAGCTTGTATTCACGCTTTAAAGGCCAGCTATTTGGTGCTTTTGGCGTGTGATATTTCCACGTGTAATATACATATGCAGATAAGTTAAAGCATATAACACTCTAAAAATGGCCCCTTTTTTTCAGACCTGAAAGCTGTTCTTTATTTTGTACGTCTCTCCAAGACAACTAAGCTGTAAATGAGAACAGATGATTAACTTGCTAACACTGTTTTATTCATTCAGTGGGCTGGTACCTGGTACAAGGCCACATTCTCAGCTCAACAAGCTGGGAGACAAGGATCTGTGCTGTGTAGGTGTGGAAACCTTGAATCATCTACAGTACAGTGTGCATGTATGTAACCCACAGAATGTGATCAATATTAATCATTAAGTGAGTTTGGAAAAAGAAGAACACAATGCTTGGAGATAAAGACAGCAAAAGAGATTTTGGATCCGCACACATTTCCAAGAAGAGTTTTGGATTTTGTGCGAATTAAACTTTTCAGATGTTAACTCCTTTAGCTGATTGGCTTAATCCGTTAAAATGCTTTTAAAGACTATCTGGTGTAGACACACAGCCTATGCTGGATCATATAACTAAGCAAAATATCCTCTGCCATCTGCAGCGGGCAAGATGCAGTTTCAGACAACAGTTCAGGGTTTTTACATGCCAGCTGATGTCGAAACAAAATACACTACCACATGTTTTATTAAAAAAATATGCAAGTAGTTGTAATTGGGAAAGACGGCTGATTGTATTTCTTCTTTTGATGTGATTACACAAATTTTCATTTGTGTACATTAAAGCTTTATGGAGTGGAAACCTCCCTTGTTTTTCTGCCACCAGAGCGCCAACCTCCCTTTGCCAAATTCTGTCTTTTGATGTCTTTCCTTTTTATACACAAATCAGAGTTCCTTTAAAATGACCACATTAAATACCTTTCCAAGTGGTCTAATTTGATTACCTTTGTGGAGGTTGCCAAGGGCCGGCCGGCGACGGCCTCCATGTTCTTCCGGTAGCGAGTGGAGAGGTTAAGGATGGCGGCGGTCGCTGCTGCGGCTTGGAGACCGTCTTCTTTTTTGAATTGACTCGGCGGGCTGTGCTGACCAGAGGTGGGCAAGCGGCCACCTGGACCACCAAGGAAGCCAGGATACTGCTGAGGTGCTGAAAGACAAATAATTAGCGAATAATTTAGTTACTCCAGGTGTTCCTACCCAAACTTAAAGACAAAGAAAACAAGGAAAACAAGATAGGAGTTGATATTTGTGGGTTTTAGACAACAACCACTGATACAAAAATAAAGACGCAATACTTAAAAGGTGATAAACTGGATATTTGCATGTAAATCTCTGATTGTTGTGGACTAATATTAATACTGTGGCCGAAACAAAGGTTCCATACTTAAAACAAAATAATGTATTTACCTTCAATACCATGTTAACTTACAAATACCTTTTTTTGTGTGTCAAATAAAATGTATGAGACTCACAATCAGGGAAATGTGGCATTTCCTGGTCCTGGTTGGTCCCCATCAGAGGCTGTTTGCCGAAGACCTGTGCATCAAAGCTGGCGTAATCAAAGCGGATTCTGCTGTACTTGTCCATGTCTTTTGTGAGGCTGGTTTGCAAGGCTGCTACTGGATGAGAGAGCCTGTAGTTCAACTGGTTCATCTCGAACTTCTTTATCAAGCCGATGGCTCTATTAGGAGACAAATTGAACAAAGAAAAAGATTTTATTATATTGTGCAAAACTTGTGAAATAACAAGTGCCCAACAAGCTCATATTAAGCAGTTAAGTATAGACATTGTTTTAAACCATTCAGGGATGCCAGTCAGTGCTTTTGTACACATAGAGTCTGGGATCTGATGTGTGTTGTAGATCCACAGCCAGGTTGCCAGACTAATTAATATAGTAGGAGTGGGCATCCTGCCCATGATATATCCACAGGGAACAAAGAGTTCTGCTCTTTTATCATCTCTAATAGAGAGGAACTCACAGGACCAGCAACCGTTGCTTATGTCTACTTGGAAAGCTCGAAATAGACTGTGCATTCTGCTGGGATCATTGAATAAAAATATCCACTCTCCTCAACAATAATAGTGTTTATCACTTTTTTGCATAACCTCAGCTGTGCTTTTAGAACTTTTACAACCACTACACAGCTGAATATGATGTCTGGGTGCTTGTGTTATTTTCCTGCACGTGTGACCACATTCATAGCGGTGAAGTTGCTCAACGTTATCTGGCACGATACCTTGGCGAGCGGTCAGGTGTTTGTCTGCATTTCAGGCTCTCGTCCTGAGGTTTAGAGACCTTCACTGCAGCAGCGATGGGGCAGCCTGAGAGACTGGTTTGAGGAGGAAATCAAACACATTAGCCTAATACTGTAACTCATCTATGAACAAGGTGCAGATTTTCTAATGGCTTTCTCTTGTGGACGTACCTCCGGTGGGTGCTACGGTTGCTGTTGACATGGCCTCTTCCTGTGCACCCGGGTGTAGGGCACTTGAGGACGTTCTCATGCATGGCCAGGACTGAGGGGAGAGGAGATAAGCTCAGAAAGAGAAACATGTCCGATGTAATTCAACATGTAAGACATAATCAAGCTTAAAGATTATACAATGGTAAATACATATATAGCGAGCATTTTGGAAATAAAACAAATACATTTTCATCCATTAAATTATGTTTTATGTGTCTGGTTGGTACATTAGTGCCTATAGCAAAGATCCTACAGAGACAGAAACAGGAGAAAAAAGGCTTTCTCATTGTGAGGAATGCTGTAATGTGGCTGAAATGTAAATAGCTTAGTGCAAAGAGGACCGTAACAAGACAACTGATTATATTCTTCAAAACAAATGCGTCGTTAAAGGTTTGCTCTGTATCCTTAGAAACTTCTTCTCTGTACATATTCTCCAATTAGTTTGTTGGAGTTGTCTATTTATTTTTGAATGCTGTGTTAGCTAGCCCTTTGATTTGCAAATACTGCCTCCAGTCTAAGAGCACGCGCTTTTTTGAAAAAGTTAATTACTTTTTCTGTTCCTTTTGTAACATTACTGTTTAATGTTGAATGTTTGTTGAGTTATATTGAAATGACTTAACAATCGCCAGTGTGAGGGGAAAAAAAAGAATTCAATATTCACACATTACAACACATTACGAGAAAGAGAGAGAGAGAGAAAATCCTTTAAATTTATTTGAAAAGTTTCATGCACATCTTTGAATTGGACTAAATGTATAAGCAGGTCTTTATGTGTTTGGGTCCGTGCTAAGAGGATTTAAATTACTGTGACTGATTATAAATCCTAAAACTGGCAGTTTTTATAAGTATAAATCATCCATTATACAGCATGTATAGACAGAACTGTGTGTGACTTACTCTCTGGAGGAACTCGGACTTTATGAGGGCACCCAGACAAACTCCTGTGATGTGGGTACAGGCCAGTCACATGACCAGTGCCATCACAGCCAGGAGTTGGACACTTTATATCCTTTTTATCTGTACGTGGTGAATCTGTGGACAGTAAAACAAGATTTCACAATGAATAAATATAATACAAGCACTGTACTGCTGCCTAAACTGTGTTCATATTCTTCTATTAAGAAATGTAGATTGTAAATAAGTCAAACATACATATAATGCACTTTGTACTTTTCTGCATGATATATAGTTCAACAGATTGAAATATCATGCAAAGCTAGACAATTTTTTTCACAAACGCATCTATTAATCTGTCATTTTAGTTAAGGCTGCAGTTCAACACAGAGCATTCACTTCTTAATGCCCATCCATCGAAAGATTACATCTAGGATTACACATTTAGCTGCAGTCATTTGAAGAATCAGAGGGAAACATGAGAGGTACTTTAGGAGGATTTAAGACTTATGGTCATGGTTAAATATCCAGTTGATTCGTATCAAAATCCAATATTCTGAGTAGTAGCAATTCCATCAGAAAATTTTGTTCTTCTTTATTTTTGTCTGTTTATTTATTACTTCACTTGTTGCCAAAATGTTTTTAGTACTTAAGAGGATTTCCTCCCTCTGATTCCCCCCCTCTGCGTATGCTTCTTTGATTCATTTTAATGTTTTTTTGGGTGCTCAATCATCCAAATCACAAGTGGTCTATTTGATTTACGCTGGATGAAGGTACATTTGCGAAAACTGTTCGTTCCCATAATGATAACTTTTCATTCTTGAGACTGTCTTTAGATCTGCTTCATTTGATATCTATATTGATACCTTTTCCTCCATGATAGTTGAGTCTGCTGTCCATGTCCATCATCCTATGGTGCCTTCTCTCATTGGTCATCTGCTCCATGAGGAATCGGTCCATCTCCCTGTAGGCATGGTGTAGGACCTGTCTTTGCTCTGTCTGCAGAGCTATGGCCTGCTCCAACAGGCTGAAGTTCACCCTCCCCCGGCTCATTTCCAGGCCTCTCTCGTGGAGTCCCAGAGCCCAGCCATCCAGCCGAGGTGGTCTCTCCGCCTCCACCTCCCCCTCACTGTCCTCTTCTGTGGGGAGTGGCCTGTATCTTAGAGCCTCAGCCTGAAAAATACTGGCTCTACCCATCAGGCCACCTAATTCTGAGTGAGGCTCTTCTTTCATGTGGCCGTTCCTGCCTGAAAGCTCTTCGGAGGTTCTGGAGGGACTGCAGCCCAAGCCGTTCACCTTTGCAGACAGGGACAGAGGCTCCCACTCGGCCTCCCTCATGTCTTCGTACGGAGTCTGTGGTGATGATGTACCACTCATCCTGTCTTGACTTTGGTGGTTTTCTTCGTTATTAAGGAGCTCTTCATCATCTTCATCCATCAAACGTTCAGATGTGTCCAACTCACACTGTGGAGAGCCATCGGACGTAACTTCTGACCATCCGAGAGAATCACTTGACTTTGCTGCCACATCGTAGCAGCCATTTTTGTTGGCAACTCCATTGATTGCACTTAAGTTTCCATCTAAAACAACAAGAAAACATTTATTTTTTATGTGTTTTCAAGACTTGACAGACCAAACATGATCTCTTGTGACCCCTCAGTAACATAAAGGATAAGAATTGTATGTCCTCGATAATCTTCTCCAAATCCTTTAAAGGTTTTAGATTTTCAGTTACTTTTCTACAAATAATATCTTGAGAAAAACATGTTTTTTTCATAACCTTCTAGAGGATTAATAAGCACACATGTTGCAATAGGAATGATAATCACAAGGTTCCAAGATTTCCAAGCAATTTAAGTATATTTTAGATAACATTTATGACCCTTCTTTCTTCTAGTTAAACATGAAACCTGGAGATGAGAAACACAATTGTTTTTTTCTTCCTCTGACTCTCCAATTGGAGCAACAACCCGATATAGATTTAGGACAAGATTATGAGGGGATTTACTGTGTGGTGGACAGTGAACACCAGTTTTTAATTAGTTATGTGTATTTTTAAGTGCAAGCTAAGCAGCAACATGTTGTCATCCGCACAAAAACTGATTTAAAAACACATAATTGTTGTTTCTAGGTAGGAGAACAGGGAAAGTGAAGAAGATTCCTGAAAACACAGATGGATGAAAACCACAGACATGAACATAAAAGAGAGAAATCTCTGTGAGCTCTTTGTGTGGCAAAACGTGGCTTAGCAGAACCACACACCTCAGTCAAAAAACGGACCATAATTTTTGTTACCAAAAAGCGATACAAGAAAAACAGATAACAATGTCCACAGAAATTAACGACTTACTTAGTGAACATGACCAAAACTTGATGAAAAATACCAGAAATTAGATACATTTTGATAAGAATTTTTTGTTTTAATTCAGCTTCAGCTTATTAAGAAAAAACGTGGTTGAAAAACAGGTTAAAGATGAAATGAAAATCAGAAATTATATTAAAATTTTATTTAATTTTAAAAGTAACTTGTCTATCAATGTGCATTAAAAGAGCATGTTTAAAAGTATTTGTTTTTCTTTCTACTTTACACTAGTAAATAGTTATTTGGGTCTTGCTTAGTCGTTTTTTATTTTTTTTAAATGTCCTGGATTAATTTAGTGTAAAAATATAAACAACTCATAATAGATCATTAAAATGCAAGTTGGAGGAAATGATTGGCAGATCATTTAATTGAATGTTTTATGAAATTGAGTTAAAAGAGCTTTTCTTTCTTTATCTTAAAATCACTGCGGGTGTGATAAGGTAGCGTGTATGATAAATGAAGTCCTATTATTGCAGATTAATAATATATATAGGAATTTTCTCTTACAATGTGCACTCATTTAATCTCTTTTTTCTTCAGCTTTATTTGCTGAGTGCTCTCAATAAATTAATTTGCATTGATCTTTTGCCATCTATCTTTCAGTATAAATCCAGAAATCCCGGTCACATGTACAGAAAGACAGAAGACTGTGCGAAGCCTTGTGCACTGGAAGTCTGATAAGTGGAACAGACAAAGAGGGTTAGGGTTATCCCTCAAAATGCATCTGAAACAACACTTTATTAACACCACTGATTATATTAAGTCATGGTCAGTGATTAACAATGGAAAGCTATCATCTGGATTGATTCAACAAAATCTCTCTTGATCCTCCAAAACCATTCAAACTTATGCTCGATTAAGGCTCTTTGGACTGTGAGGGTTTTTACTTTCAGTAGGCTGGACTGTGGGCCTAGATCCTCTTAAGTGGCTAGACATGACGACCAAAAGTAGGATTCGATAGGTTGAGGACATAGACAGAGATGGATTGTGAGAATCAGATCACACACTGCTGAGGATGATACAGATACAGGCATTATCAGACAGCTATGACTTAGTAATGGGAGCAGCACAAAAACTTAATCCTCACCAAAAGAGCTTTAACATAAATTACGTGGCACTAATAATAAGAGAAACTGTTGGGTTTTTTTGCAAATGTATGAGTACATTACATTATTAAATGCAGTGGAATTTGACATGTCTGTTTTTTATATGCATTGAGGCAACATTACAGCGATCTGTTCCCTGCTGTTGAATATATTTGAAAAGAGGTGTCTAAAGACAAACCCTGTTGAATGAAAAATTAAAGCCAGTTACACGTATTTACATTTATGAAGCAAGCAACAAGGGTTTTGTTTTTCATCCAGATGGACTCCCCGGCCTGACACAGCCGCATACAGTCAGACAAGCACACAGACATACAGGCACACACACACACACACATACACATACACATACACATACACATACAAACACAGAGACACAGAAGTGCAGTGAAAAAAAGGAAAGAGATGGAGGAAAAAAACTTGGATCCCTCCGGTGGTTTGTGTGTTGGAACAGGTGAACAGTTTGTACTCCAGAATAGCCATTACCAGCACTCTGCAGCAGGGCTGCAGTTGGCTGGAGTTGAACGCAGTGTGGCTCGACCAAACGAGAGGCTTATTTTTCTCCCTTTTTGTTAAAATGCAGATATGACCAGCTTCCCACTGCAAAAATTCTTACTGCCTCTAGTCCACTTTTCCAATTTTTGTTTTTCCACAGAAAATAGCTACCCAAATCTGACAATAACAGCAAAATATGTTCTGAAATTGTTTATCAATATCTGCGTTCCTTTGACACTCTTCAGACTTTTTTCTATTCTGGCAGGATGAAAAAATCTAGTCCACTGAATATTAAGTTCAAATATGGAAAATATACAGCAGTAAATCAATGTTGGATGATAAAAAGAAAAAGTATCTAGAATATACAACAACAAAAGGAAAAACTGATGATGCCCACAGTGAATTACTTAGATAATTGTAATGTAATATGAACCCAGGAAACAAATAAATTCCATTTCCAATGAATCCACACAATTCAGTGAGCTACTCTCCTGGTCCATTTAACTACACACATGTGTACTATAATGAGCTGTAGACATTATGCCTAATTATGTATTAGACTGTGTTAGAGGGCCTAACAAAAGCTTTTGAAAGGGACAATTACGTTTGTTGCTTAGTTACATCGTTAAAAATATACCAAATCAGTGCAGATTATAGTGGGCGAGAATGCACATGTACACCACGAGCATTGTTGCCAAAATGCACAAAATTCAATTCATTAGGAAAAAAGAAAACATTTTCGCTCCTGAAAAGGACAGTGGCATAAGTGAAAATAAACAATTTTAACTGTTGTCGATGAAATGTTCCTGTGGTTTAGTAAAGTCTTTGTAGAAACAAAACGGTAACACATTAAACATCAGCCAAGCTATGTTGACGCCTCGTTTGTTTTTCACAAAAGGCAACTTCAATAAAAATTCAGTTTAGAAGAATGGAAGAAGTTTAATTTAAATCAAAGTGAACTGCTGCACTCCCCCATTCAGTTGTTCATTCTATGGATTCAATGGGTTTGGACTGGCTATTGAAAAAGGACAGATGAGGGGTCTGAAATCTGGCCTCATCAAAAGAGGGTAAAGCCACGCCAGAAATATCATGGCAGATCAGCTGTCAAAACTTCAATTTGTGGACGTGAGACACAACTAATGTGGACCCAGCAGTGTAGTCTTTCACTTCCACTGCACAATGACTGCGGCTGCTGGCTGATGGCAGAGGGAGGGAAATATGAATGCAACAGATGGGATTTTAAAATTCAGCGTCAATTGTTCATCAAAACAGACAAAACAACAGGACATCTGTTTACCTGCTGGAGTGTCAATGTTCCTCAGCTCTTCTTTGTCCTGTGGCGGTGCCAGGTCCTCGCTCTCCTCTTCACATGCCTCGCTGGGGCTGTAGTGGCGGGGCTTCATCAGCAGGGACTTTCTCTTGTTGACGGGGGCGCCCTGCACCCCTTCCTGAGCACTCCTCTTCCTCGCCATGGACCCATATGGGCTGGAGAGAAAGGGGTGAACGGACAAAAAGCACAGCAGGGTCAACAAAGGCCTCATCTTGGCTCATTTTAAAGGTCCAATTTGGGACTTTTCTTTATAAAGTTAAAACCCTCATAATGAATCACACTTATGGGAAGAAGACATTTTCTTTTCGGGATGAAAATGAAAAAGATGAGAAAATTCAAAGTGTTCATGAAATTTCACCTTTGAGTCTCAGGGATGCAGTCGTTCAGCCCTGTGAAATAAAGGCCAAAAAAGAACAGATGAAAAGTCATGTTTACATTTCCACTACAGTGGCACAGCATCTGGCGACGTATTCATCATCAAAGCTTCAAGGCGGCTCACTACTTTTCGGCTATTGCTAATGAAATTTTTTACAATGTACTGTAAATATTTGTTTTGTAGATAATGTTTTAGGGATGACACAACCCTGGCTAATAGTGCTTTATGCAGCCTTTTACCATAGATTTGATTCTCTTTTACAATGCCATTGGGTATAATCAAGCATAAGGATGGAGAAGTGGTCTCTTCATTGATCTGAAAAGCTTTTCATTCAGTCTGCTCATTCTCTGGGACACCAACAGTAGCTCATCCTTTGACAGCATTGACAACATGATCTAAAAGGGTAAATCAATTTTCCCAGAGGCCTGCGTAAATCTCATTCACAAGTTCTGCCCCTACTCCCATGAAGCACAACCAATGATAACACTTTTCATGAATTTCCCCAGATGTAGTAATAGCTCCAGCGTGCGCAGGCAGGCCTCAGAGGCCCTGAACACTTGCATAATGACATATCCAGTCTAGAGGTTTTCAATCACACAATATATACACACTCCTTAACTAATTTGAGCCACTGTTCCAATTTAATGAAGTTATTCCCCTCTGAATAATGAAATGGCAGTGCAGTGCTCTTCAGACTGGTAAGATAATACATAAAATTGACAGTTATAAAGTTGGATTGTTGAACTGATACCCCTAACCCATGGCGGTAAGTGGAATATGTGTGTGCGTGTGCGTGCATGTGCGTTTAGTTAAAAGCAAACTACAACTGAAAGCTGTACTCACCTGTGCTACTGTTACATGTGTTCAGGGTTTGCTCCTCGCCTTCAGAATCCATCTGTTAATACAATATTCGATGTACATATGAGCCACTAAACAGACAGATTTGAATTGTATTTCATTCATCATTTTAATTAATTTATTTTATTTGATATGGAAAAAGGCTAGCACTTTATAATTATTGGCGATTTTTGTCAGTGAGCCAGAGCCGGCGAGCCTTAAAATCAATTTGTGGGCACCACAACATCACAAAGAGCTCCTAAAACATCAGTAATATGCAAACACATGAAGTGTAATGTTAGGAAAAAAAAGTTTCAAAGGTGAGTAAAAACGTAATGACACTAAATAATGACATTAAAGTACGGACAGCACCTCACTGTGTGTGTTTAGACAAAAATAGTTGCTAAAATCCATCCACTCTCGCTGGCTGTTGCTTGTGGGCCCCAAATAAAACCTATTAAACATAATTATTCCAGGCTGATGGTGGCGTATAGTGGTCACAGGCCAGTGAAATCTGTGAGTCATAGGATATGCTGTTACTTTTCCCTGGTAATGGGAAACATGACTCCTCTCTCTCGTTTGCTGTTGTGATTGAAGGCACTGACCTGTCATACATTTATAATAGGGGAGCAGGTGTGGCAGTGATGGACCTTAATTTCCTTTAATAAACCTTTTATGTGCCACACTCTTAATGCCACGCCAGGCCCTCAGAGGTCCTGCTCATAATAGGTTCATTACTTTTGATTACTACAGCCTATTGAGACAAACAACTCCCAAACACTATAGATTACATTCTGTAAAAACGAATGTACCTCATTAGTTTGTAACACTTTTCCACACAGCCATGCTTCAACATTTTGTATAAATTTGTTGTTCTGAAGGCAAAATGTTGCTCTTAAATCCTGCAACCTGAGATTGTAACATGGACATTAATCAGAGTTCAAATGATGTTATCAGTGTACCCAAATATCACCAATGACTCACACGTTTATTACCAGGGTTTTTTTTCTTTTTTTTTCTAACTTTATTTGACATTTTGAACATCTAAATGTTTTAAAAATGCTATTTAATCATTAAACTTGTTATACTTTTCAAAAATGTTCTTAGTATTTTTGTATTTCTTATTTAATAAAATGTTTGTAATAGCACACAGCTATAATTCAATAAAAAGAAACCTACAGAAATCACCTAATAATGAGTAATTGAATCAAACACAATAAGGCTGTACTGTATGTCAGACTATAGCTTAATTAATTTATTTCTTACTGTGAGCCGCATATCCAGTTTCACATATTATATAAGTTGGAGTCTGAAGCAAATTGAAACCGTTCCTTTGTTAGCGCTGCTTTTTAAAGTGCGTCACATGTACATTTCTAACATATATGATGTATATATATTTATATTATGACAAAACTGATTTTGACAAAGCAGAGGCTACTGCATATCTAATTCCCATAACAAGAAGTGACAAGTAACAAGACAACAAGGAAGGCTTCCGTAGATGCTTTGGTGTACTAACAGGTAGTCCTGGCATGGCAACAACATGGACAAACATGTGACGCCGAGTGTTTACAAAAGCAGAACAAATAGATACATTCAGGGTCAAATGGGCGCTCTTATTTGATATTCCCTACACAATCTGGCTTAGAACTTTATATAATTTAGCTTTTCATTAATATTGTATGCTGTTTTATACAGAGTACGTTATACGGTGTAGATTAATAAAATAATTTAGTCATGGTATATGTTGTACCACCCCCCCCCTTGGATTTACCCTTTATAAGCAGTATATACACATTTAATAAATGGTTTATAACACAGTATAATGTAGTTCTAAGCAGATAGATGTTTATTAATGTATTTGTCAACAACTATAATTCCTCCTGTGAGCACAAATAAATTGAAGCTGGTGTATAAACAGATAATGAATGACAATTGTAATTGTATGAAATATGTATAGTGTGTTATAAGTAATGTATTCATTATTTATATACTGCTTAAAAATACTAAATAGGTATGGGGACATACAGTAAAGTGTTACCAGTGGAATTTAAAAAAAATACATTTGCTCAAAAATGGTTATATTCCAGCGTAATAACCCATATAATAACTTACTGAATAACAATGTAAATACGTAACAATACTAGAGTAATGTATGTTTTTCAGTTTCCTACCTAAAAATGATGTCATGCTTTATCGCAGTAGTAGTAGTAGTAGTAGTAGTGGAGTGTTTCCATCAGAATATGTTTCCTGTGCTATCTCGGGCCTATTCTCTGGCATTCAATTTTGTATATTTGCCAACTACTCACATAGATGTTGTAAAGAAACAATTTGGATTGTTGTAGGATCACTTTTTTAAAAGTCAACACAGAAATAGGCCTCTAAGTATAGTATGCTGCTGATAGCAGTGTTTTAGCATGTTTTACTACAAAACGTGTTCACCTTACACCACTGTTTAGTATTTTCCAAAGCAGACGGTCTTATATCTGTTATATCTCTTTTTTTTATTGATATCCATTCATTTCTATATAGTTTGAAATTCCCACTCTACATTTGAAGAGTGACTGATCACAGTGAACATTATGTCTGCTTTACTGTTTATTAAAACATAGATATGATCATTTTACACCTAAAGACCTTGTAACAGAGTTCTGTTATGGTTTCAAAGTAACTTTTATTAGGTAAAATCCAGCTGAGACAACCTGACAACTAAAGGCAACCATTACTTTAGAGAAAGCTGATTCAGCAGTACCTTTTAAAGAGTATATTATCTCCCAGCCTCCCACAGCTCTGCATAAGTAAAAAACAATCTGAGTTTGTGATCACTGTGGTCAAAGGTGCAGTGACACTCTCCACCACTTAGTATGGTACTTATCCAAAACACTGTTACACAATCATTTATCCCCAGAGACTTTTTGTCCCTAACAAAAGTTGTTTTCACTTTGCATGTGGAATTTAAGCCCTGTCTGAGTCCCATCAGATTATTTACCTTTGATTGTAGTTTTCCGAGCACTCTGTAGGATAAGATGCCAGATCCGCACTGTCCCCCCTGGTTGACGCTTTCACACTTGTTATCTCTCAGGAGGTGATCATGTAATTCATTATCTAAAACAGAAAACACACCAGACACACTTATATAAAAAAATTTGCAACTTATTTACTTTTTTAGCGCATCTGAAATAAATTATATGTCTCTAAACCATTTTTCTTTCTTTTTTATTAGTCCCACTTCACAATCTAGAGACAAGGATGTGAAAACGCACTCAGAAAAAGGTGGAAAGAGCATATTAATACCTCACATGGAATAAGGAACCCAATGCAAATTGATTGCTTGACAGAGATCAAATTGCTTGCTTCTAATTAATACAAAACATCCAAGAGGGAAAACAAGGATGAACACAATGAGTACATTAAGCCTCTTCACTTCACAGATCTTATTATGGAATTATTTATTTCTGTTAGCTTTGGAAAAAAAAAGAAAAACAACATCTTCTTAATTATAGCTCACAGAGCGCTTCCCCAGAAAAAACAAAACTGGGGGAAAAGAGGGGAGGGGGTTTTGAGGGAGGGTTATTCACTCAGTTTCATTAGCATATGAAAAAAAAAAGACTCACTACTATTTGAGCTGGTTCGTCATCTGCTGAATCATATTTATGCACCCCCCCTCCACACACTCCCCCACCTTCATGCACACACCCCTAGTCCAACACAAATAATGCTTCTCAGAGGACTGTTTCCCTGCGTCTAGGGCAGATTTCTCAGGGGGAAAGGAGGCAGCCTGATGCTTAGGGTCTATGAGATTTTCTATGTGTTAATCTGGCTGCTAGCTGTCCTTGAGCCCAGCCCATTCCCCCCTAACCCCATCTGCTAGCATTCCCACCACAGAGGAGAGAATGGGCTGCGACTGGGGGTAGAAAAAGAGAGAGACCTTCCCAGTTCAGCAATCATGAATAACCATTGCCTCGCACCATTATCAGAAAGGCTGGATCCAAGCTGAGATGGTGGAGAGGAAATATCTGTAAAACACCCGGACGCTCCTGACATTACTCTAACCACACTCTCGCATTTTGTTGTAAGTGATGCTATTATGATTATTTTCATATAATGCCTTATTAATACCGTGCAGCTGCTGTGGATATTCATCACTGACCTTGAGTCTTTGTGTCCCCTTGTTCCAGCTTATCCGTGCACTTGGGACGCTCTCATGTAATTAACACAGACATTATTGTGATGGAGTAAAAAACTCACTGGTACTGTGCTGATACCTCATCTTGGAACCAATAAAGCAGGCCAGAGTAGCAAAGTAAGATTCTGGAGACCATAAAATTAATTACATTATTTACATTTCCTTTAGATAGGGGGGTACAGGCGAGATGATAGAGGCAAATGAGATTACACAAAATAAGATTTCAAAATGTCAGTGCTGCACACTCAACCAACCAACTGTTATGATTAGATTACTCTTTTAATATAATTACTGTCTAAGGCTGTGTGTGGAAACAATGCATACATAAAAAACAGAAGCTGCGTCTTAACTGATTCCCATCCTTTTCTCCACGAGCCTTTTTCTCTTAACCTTTCTTCAACAGTATCATTTTGAATTATAGGGAACGGATGGATGCTCTGTGCAAGGTCACTGTCTGGTGTGTACTCACCCCCCCTCTCTCCTTGTTTTTGTTTCCTCTTCCAGAAGCACACTGAGTGAAGGGTTAAAACTGGAATGGATTTAATTATGGAATGAATGGAATTATAATGCGCCTGCAGCAAGTTTTCCTCCTTATTTATTAAAGCAGCTGATGGGCCAGGTTTGATGAGCCACTTCTGGCATAATTGAGTCATCACACAAAGAGGGTTCCTCGCATTCAGAGTGGTTTTATCAGCAGCAAACAGACCTGATTACTGGCAATTACACTCTGATCTAGGGGAAGGAGAAAAAAAGGGTAAATGTGCGGGGTAACTTCTGTGTTTATAGTTTACCCCGGGAATAATTTTCACATTAATTTTACATGCTAAGTGTTTTCTGTTTATGTACAATAAAGAGCAAACGGCGAGAGATAGCACCTTTTACTTTCATATTTCCTTGTAATGAATGTCAGAGGATATAGTGAACTGATCGCAATTTATATTTACCCTATAGGAGGTTGTGCAGAGAACCGGCTACACATAAAGCCTTGCCTAGTTGAAGCAAAAGGTGAGCTGGCAGGAATATACCTGTTTGGAAAGTGCTCACACCTATTCTGTGGAAAGCAGGTAAAAAATTGTATACAGAAAGCAGGCGATTGCTTTTGCCAGTTTTCATTGAGATGCAAATGGTTCGTGGTGAGTAAATTAAGCTCTGCTCAGAGATTAAAATCAACTTCTGTTCAGAGAGTATTTAGATAAACAACTTTTTGTCTTTTTTGTGAGGTGGCCAGGGAGCCATCACACGCCCTGTGCCTAAATACCAGCTGGACATTAGAATAATAGCTGAGATATATTTTAGGAGGGGGAGGGGACCAGAGAGGGGTCTAGGGTATCTAATTTATGTCTAAAACTTGGCGTAAAATCTTTTTTTTTAATTTTATTTCACAATGTTTAATTATTGGTTACCTACATAGTAAAAATGACAACTAATAAGCACTTAATTGCACTGGAGAATTAACTGTGTTTATAAGAAAATGATAATTTTTTTCAGTTGAATTAAAAGATATAAAATACTGAACGGTCTTTTATAAATCTAGTCACTTCAGTTCTTGAAATTTTAAGTTTATTTAGTATAATCTAAATTTAAGCGAAAGAAAGCTATCTGGCTTTTATCTGTGCTGTGTACCCATTAAATAAAAAAATAAAAAATAGTGTATCTGAAAGAAAATTATTCTGCCGGCAATTTATGAGCATTCCTCCGCCTGATAGAGGTTTCTGGATTCATACAGACACAGTAAAAAATCTTGAAGTCAACTGCGATTTCAGATATAACAGCCTCACAGCTACCCTGACGGCCAAGCAAAGTGTTTGTGCCTTTTGCCAAAGAGTACTTTTATAGAGGAGCGTATTGGCATCTTATCACTTCTCCAAGACAGAGATGCTTCAATAAAAGAACACAGCTCACAGAATTCTTAACAGACAATTAGGAGCCTGGCTAGCCACTATCGCTTCAATGATTTGTTATGATGGCATAACTACAGGGGAAACTTGTTATTGGACGGAGTTAGCAAGAGTCCCATAAAAGAGTCAGATGGTGACACCTTTGCCGAGGTGATTTATGAATCTTGTAATCGCTTTCCAAAGTCATCCCAAAGCCTTCCCTCTAAATTGAGTTCATCTGGAGCCGGACCACACAGAGGCACCAAGTCCAGATTGTTTCTTCTGACATCAAAGAGCCAATTTCTGTTTTTGACCAAATTTCTGGTGCTTTTAGTTCCCTTATCGTATGAAAGGGGCCTAGATGATATGCTATTTTATTTCTGAATTTCAATCCAATTAAGAACACCAAAATATTGAGACAAATAAAATTAGTATCTTCTTACACTACATTATGAATCAATAGCATAATAAACAGAGTGGCAGACAATTCATCCATTGGCAAGTCTCCAGTCTGCCAAACCACTCTCATGTTAGTTTGAATCTTTGAATTCTGTCAGGAACATGGTTTTTCAAACCTGTCTAATTTGGGGACAGGTGTTTGGGGAAAAAGAAGTTCCAGCCCTGGTGTAACAATGAGCAGAGTAATCCTGCTCATTGTTCCTGCCCAAGGAGGCCCTTTCATGGAGGAGGTTGCATGAATGCTACCAGGTGGTCTGCAATTTGGAGAAACGTAGTAACCGTTCCAGCTAATCCCCCGTTACAAAAGGCAGGTCTCCAGTGCTCCGGGGCTCTCCGGGGCAAAGGCAAAAGTTTACCTCGAACACACAGTGTCTGAAAGGAGTCAGGGACTCGAGCAGTGATTCCTAATCAGATTGCGCTGAAGTGAACAGCTCGCATGGCAGCTGTAGTTTTCCCAGGGTTAATTACCTTTCACTGCTCTCTCTAAATGAGTCAGCTGTTCCTGTCATTAAACAACTCCACTCTATCTCTGCTCCTCTGTCCTCCACACACATGTGTACGCGGGTGCACGCGTTCACACACACGCGCACACACACACACACACACACACACACACACACACACACACACACACACACACACACACACACACACACACACACACACACACTAACCCATACCCACATAGACCCACCTTTGTTTTTCATCCATTATTTGCAATGTATTGTGTATGGTGATCAGGCAAAACCCTATTAAAACATGAATTATTTGAATATTATAGCGACTTTGATCACTTCACGAATCAATCAGAGGCCACTGAAATGGAGGTAGCTGTCTCTTTATTTATGCTACGGATGTTTATGCAGATATAAGCCAGTATTCCCAATACACTTCCCCTACCCTGTTGAAGCAAAATAATACCAATCTGTCAAGGTCTTATTCTAAACAGCCCCTTTAGTACTAATTGAGTATATATAGGAAGCAAACATGTTCACATATGCGCACACACAAACACAGGCATACGCACAAATGCGGATACACATACATGCACACACACAAACACAGAGAGTCCAGCTCTGATATAGTTGTGCTGTCATCAATTCTGAACAATCTGTCTGCTTACTGAGCTCAGTGGCTTAGGATGTTGGGGGAGTTTTAAGTGATTTTTGCCACTGTATGGTAAAATCCCTTGGCCACCTGGATTACAAACTCTAGTCCTTTAACTCATGCCAGTATAAATCCGTGTTAACTCGGATTTACCTCTGGCATATGAATTCTCAATCTGCGTAAGCTTTGTTTGGAATGAGTCGAACATAAGTATTTCGTGCAGTAAGGATGCCCAATGGTGAATTCCTATTTCTGTGAAACACACACAGGGGAGATAGTTCAGGACCAAATCAGTTATCAGAATAACTAGGAAAGCCTTAAGCAGTGTTTTATTACACTCAAGAGGTGAGGCCCGTACAGCCCTTCACAACCAGGTGGAAGCGTGCGATGCTGCACTGTGAAATCCACGTAACCATGGTGACAGATATAAACTCAGAGCTGCACGCTGTGGTCAAGAGTTTAATCAGATTCCTTAT